AACTCACTGCGGATCCAGACATTTGAATTGAGAAAGCTTCCTGGAGAGGTGGCGAAACGTCTTCAAATCTTGAAAACCAAGTCCAGTGGATATTTTTTTGGATTTTTACGGAATGACTATGACCTGGATGACTGAGAACCTTCATCAGCATATTGCGATTCTAACAAATAATCAAGTTGGACTTAATTGTCAGTTTATTAGATTAAGATATGTTTCATCAGATTAACTGAGAAGGTTAGTCTAGAAGGCATTTCTGTCAGTGTTGTAATGTTGCCAGAGAGCAGAACCATGAATGGGTCCAGCATCGGTCCGGATTATTTCCATGAACTTTCTATGGTTCTGCAGTAGCCGCTGATGTGGACGGATGCTGGTCGTCACCATCAGGAAGTGTCTTTGTTAGCAGGATCCGATACGTTAGCTCAGACAACGCTGGCGCTCCTGGTCATGTCACAGCCGTGTATCCTTCCACCTAAAATGGATGAAAGCCTATTTGTTTCAACCACGAGGTTTTGCAGGATGGTGAGGCTCTTATCCAGGAGCAGCATCCTTTTTTTGGCACTGCCATCAGATGGCGCCATGTCTATGCTCATTGCGCCCCCTGCTGGATTCTATTTAGGCTAAAACAGATGTAAACACTATCAGGATGGAGTATTGGTGTTTATAGCCTTTTTATAAAACAGGATTAGATGGTTTTTGCGCTTTTTTGTGGAGATATTTAAAGAACTCTATCTTTAATCCATCAAATGTTTTAACAAATTTCTAAGCATCGTTTTTCAAGTGTTTGTTTTTTGGATTAAGTATTAAAAAATTTAATTATTTTTAGATTTTCAAGGTCACATTCGCCTTAGTTCTGGGGGTGGAGCTTTCCTCTGGTGTAAGAAGCAAAGATGCATTTCTATTGGTCTGCTGGACGCTAGCTGCAACATTCTGATTGGCAAAGAGTCAGTGTTAAGAAAATGTAATCTGAGAAACGCAATTTGAAAAGCAAATTTAAAAAGGAAAGGAAATCTGAAATATCAAACAAAGAGTACCTTTAAAAAGAAAAATGAAATTATAGAATATGAGAAAACAGTAAAGTTGCTCTCAAAACCTTTTTTTGATCATTTTTCAGAGTTTTTATTTCTAGACTACATTTTTTTATGTATTCCTTGCAACAATAATGGAACCAATTCCCCTCTGTAGTTTAGAAGACAAGTGGTGTCTAATGGAATTGTACGGCACTCCACAGAGGACATTTTAAAGTGCATCCATTCCTTTAGTTTTGGTTTTGTTCCTAAGCCGTCAGCGGTCTGCAGTTATGCTTCTCATTCAGCCAATCCCATGTCTGCGTTCTTAGGCTGGTGTTCAGTCAGTCCTTGATCTCACTGAACCTCATCGAGGATTTCCTTGCCGCCTCTCACAAAGCCAGAGAGCCTTTATCATCCGTAAAAGGTGAGAAAAAAGGAACGTTTATCCAGACGACTCGGGTGGTGATTATTTATTTATTTTTATTTTTTTGTGAATATTCAGAGGGCAGCTGGATTAAAAACTTGGATTACTATCGTCTGGACGGCTCCACCTGCGCTTCACTGAGGAAGAAATGGACGGACAGGTTCAACAATCCCTCCAACCACCGGTACGCTTTGCTCCATGTTGTCCATCAATGCTGGAGTAAGACGGAGGGGAAAGTGATTGATGGTTTTGATTTTACTGCTTTTAGCGGCAGGTTGTTCTTGATCTCAACGAGGGCCGGCTCCCTCGGGATCAACCTCGTTGCCGCCAACAGGGTGGTCATCTTCGACGCGTCCTGGAATCCCTCCTATGACATTCAGAGCATTTACAGAGTGTACCGCTTCGGTCAGCTGAAGCCGGTGTTTGTGTACCGCCTGCTGGCTCAGGTAAAACGCTGAGACCTCAGTCGCATCGCTCTTAAAAAAATAATATGTTTTTACCCATGCTTTCCGTCTGCGGCTTTCAACAGGGAACCATGGAGGAGAAGATCTACGACCGACAAGTCGCCAAGCAGTCTCTGTCCTTCAGAGTCATAGATCATCAACAGATAGAGAGACACTTCACTCTTTTTGAGCTGACTGACCTCTATACGTTCGAGCCAGACCTGCTGGATGATCCAAACTCTAAGAAGAGCAAGAGGCCGACTCCCATCCTGCCGAAGGTTGGCCTCCAACTCAGTTAAAGCGGAGCCACTTCTTCACCGGACGCTACAGCCCCATGTGCTTCTCTTACAGGACAGCATCCTGGCGCAGCTGTTACAGATCTGTAAAGACTGGATCGTCTCCTACCATGAGCACCAATCCCTGCTGGACCACAAGCAAGAGGAGGAGTTGAGCGAAGCGGATCGCAAAGCTGCGTGGGCCGAGTACGAAGCCGAGGTGACCACCACTCAAATGTTGTTTACAAAGACAGTGTTCACGCTTCCTGTATTTAAACGCCGCCTTTGTTTTCCACCAGTCGAACAAAACCAACGCCCCCACCGGTTCAAACCAAGACGGCCTGCAGACAAAGACCAACGAGCAGCTGCTGGTATTTAACAGGGAATCTCTGAAGCTGCTTAAATTACATCTGGAAAGGATTTTTCACCCCTCTCTCTTTGCAGGAAATACTCAACAAAAGCAGAATGACTTTAAGCTCGGTTTTCCTGAGCCTGCAGCAGATAAGGACTCATTCTGTTGAGGACTACGTCCTACGACTGGTCAGTGAACACAACCAGAGGGGGAGCTTCTGACAAGCTCACATGCTTCACTGAGTTCTTTACAGGGCTTAATGTTACGTCCAACGTTTTAATCTCAGTCCTATTTTTTCAGTCAGACTGCGTATAGAGAGGCTCTGACTAGCCAGGGTGAGCAGATCCTGATCTGTGCAGAATTTTTCAATTTGTGCCCAACGAAATGAAACAATTTCCCACATTTGACTTGGAAAGATTATAATAAGTTATTATTTTTTTTTTTTTTATAATTATATTTATTGGTTTTTAACGTTTTGACAAACAAACAAATACAATACAAGACAAGAACAAGAGAACAATCCAGCTCTTAAAGTTATAGTTTAAGTTATAATAAGTTATTAAATAAGTAAAAAAAAAAAAAACATCGCATTCTATTAAAGCTACAGTGTGTAATAATTACAGGGATATACAGTCAGAAATGTAATATATTATACATAACTATGTTATTTATCATCATCTACGAGC